AACTCCAACAACCTACTCTCTGGTCTCTCTGGCTTCCTCCTCATCCTACTCACCCTACACTTACTCTTTGGCCTTTTTGAGACCTCCATTCCCTTGATATCTCCATTTTCTTCCTATCTCTTGACCTCCTCTTGGCTTGACTTTCCTCTCTAATAAAACATAGCCTAGACTCTGAGGCCCATCATCTCTTCAAAGACACTCTTGTCAATGTCCCTCAAGTCCCAGGCTCATGTGTCTTCCATTGCCACCAGGAAGAGCCTCCAATCAACCCAACTGCCTTCTTTTCTCCATCATGTCTCCAGGCTGCTAAGCACAGTTAGAGAAAGTTATACAACTGTGCAGGCTGAGCCTTCAACAAAACCATGATCTTCAACCTTCCACGAACCTATAGTTCTGCCCAAATTATTTACCACTGAGCAGTGCTTGGCTGTTTGCTTGTACACACTAAGTAACATTCACCAGGATGTCTCTATTGGGGAAACCCACCCCCAATATTTCAATGTAGGTTCTTTCTATTTTCCCTAAGTGTCGGCCAGTCTGAGAAATAAAGAGAAAGAGTACAAAGAGAGGAATTTTACAGCTGGGCCTCTGGGAGTGACATCACATATTGGTAGGACCATGATGCCCACCTGAGCTGCAAAACCAGCAAGTTTTTATTAAGGATTTCAAAAGGGGAGGGGGTGTATGAATAGGGAGTAGGTCACAAAGATCACATGCTTCAAAGGGCAAAAGGGAGAACAAAGATCACATGCTTCTGAGGAAACAGGGCAAGGACAAAAGCAAAGATCACAAAGAAAAGGGCAAAATTAGAATTACTGATGGGGGTCTATGTTCAGCTGTGCACATATGGTCTTGATAAACATCTTAAACAACAGAAAACAGGGTTTGAGAGCAGAGAACCGGTCTGACCTCAAATTTACCAGGGCAGGATTTTTTCCCCACCCTAATAAGCCTGAGGGTACTGCAGGAGACCAAGGTATATTTCAGTCCATATCTCAACCACATAAGACAGACACTCCCAGAGCGGCCGTTTATAGACCTCCCCCCAGGAATGCATTCCTTTTCCAAAGTCTTAATTATTAATATTCCTTGCTAGGAAAAGAATTCAGCGATATCTTCCCTACTTGCACGTCTGTTTATAGGCTCTCTGCAAGAAGAAAAATATGGCTCTATTCTGCCTGACCCTGCAGGCAGTCAAACCTTATGGTTGTCTTCCCTTGTTCCCTAAAATCACTGTTATTCTGTTCTTTTTCAAGGTGCACTGATTTCATATTGTTCAAACACACATGTTTTACAATCAATTTGTACAATAGTGGTCCTGAGGTGATGTACATTCTCAGCTTATGAAGATAACAGGATTAAGAGATTAAAGTAAGACAGATGTAAGAAATTATAAACCGGGCGCGGTGGCTCATGCCTGTAATCCCAGCACTTTGGGAGGCCGAGGCGGGCGGATCATGAGGTCAGGAGATCGAGACCATCCTGGTGAACATGGTGAAATCCCGTCTCTACTAAAAATACAAAAAAATTAGCCGGGTGTGGTGGCGGCGCCCAGCTACTCGGGAGGCTGAGGCAAGAGAATGGCGTGAACCCGGGAGGCGGAGCTTGCAGTGAGCCAAGATCGTGCCACGGCACTCCAGCCTGGGCGACAGAGCCAGACTCCATCTCAAAAAAAAAAAAAGAAATTATAAGAGTATTATTAGGGAAGTGATAAATGTCCATGAAATCTTCACAATTTATGTTCCTCTGCCGTGGCTCCAGCCGGTCCCTCCATTCAGGGTCCCTGACTTCCCACAACATGTTCTTACATCCTTCAGCCCCATAAGTTAATATTAACTACTGAAATAACAATGACATGAACCCCCATTTTTGCTTGCTAAGGCTGAATGTCATTCTGACTAAAGCTCTGAGTTGAGGATTTTGAGACCACATTTGGGCCTTTATCACAGCAAGGAGGGGTACTGAATGACACTGTTTGGAGTTCTCAAAGGCAAGGAGGTAAGCAACTGTCAGCAGATGTGACCTGTGTGGCATGATCCTCTCCCTGTTCTATAGGCTGTGTTACTCACTCCCTCTGCGGGAATGAAGCAAACTGGGAGAAAAGGCCTGCCTGTCTCCGGCTGGGTAGTCCTTGGCCTGTGAGGATCCTCTTCTAACAATTCACAAAGGGGTGGCTGTGTCCAGCCACATGACCAACGAGAAGGGCTACTACTCCCTCCTCAAAACACTGCCTCCACTCTTCTCCAGACTGAAGGCTGACCCTAACCAAGGAAATGATCCAAAACTGTCCAGAATGGGGGGCCCTGGAGAGGAGTTGTACCTTTAGTTAGGTAACTCACTCCTAGAACAAAGAACCCTGAGCCATGTTGCTATAACCTTAAGACTGGTCTCAGAACTTTGTCGCATATAAAAAACCTTCAAATGTCCCTCCATTATCTCTAAGAGCCAACGAAGAAGATAACACTTGAGCACTAGCTCCACACAGAGTCGTTGAATATTCACTGTTTAAGAAAACAAGGAGACAAGTAGAAATTTGAGCACTTGCAGGATATCTGACAATATTAAGCAATATTTTTAGGTGGGATAATGGTACTGCGGTTATGCTTTATTTAAAGAAAGAATTCTTCCCTTTAGAGAAACACACTGAACTACTTAAATGAAATTACATGAGGTCTGGGATTTGCTTGGAAAACAATGGGGGGAGAGGAAGGAGTCGATGAGGGTATCTAGAAGAAAAGATGATAAGCATTTTTTCTGGAATGAGCCATATAGTAAATATTTCAGGCTCTGTGGGCCAGACATCTCTGTCACCACAACTCAACTCTGCCACTGTAGCACAAAAGCAGCCATAGGCAATATGTAAATGAATGGGAGTGGCTGCATTCTTTAAAAAGTTAATTTTAAAGCCTGTAGCTGGCCAGACTGAGGCCAAATACTGTAGTTTGTTGACCTCTGGTCTAGAGAAAACAAGAAAAGCCATGAGTTGATAATTGACGAAACTGAGTGATTGGGGTCTCAGAATACTAATTGGTCTATTTTTTTGTATGTTTCAAATTCTCCACAGTAAAACACTAAAAAACAAACAAAGAAGGAAATAGACCATATATTTTTAAGAAAGATTACCATCACAAATGCTTAAAATAAAACCATATGGATTTTTTTTTTTTTTTTTTTTTTTGGAGACTGAGTTTCACTGTGTTGCCCAGGCTGGAGTGCAGTGGTGCAATCTGGGCTCACTGCAACCTCCACCTCCCAGGTTCAAGTGATTCTTGTGCTTCAGCCTCCTGAGTAGCTAGGACTACAGGTATGTGCCACCACACCCAGCTAATTTTTGTATTTTTAGTAGAGATGGGTTTTCACCATGTTGGCCAGGCTGGTCTTGAACTCCTGACCTCAGGTGATCTGCCTGCCTCAACCTCCCAAAGTGTCGGGATTACAGGCATGAGCCACTATGCCCGGCCACCATTTGGATCTTGAAGCATTAAACCTTCAGATGTATGGAAAATGTTCTCCTAGTAATCCCCTAGCAATTGGGAGAATCGATTTCCCACTGGCCTTCTCTAGGCCTTCCAAACCAAGACCAGGCCAGGAGCGATGGTTCCAGAGCTGGCATTGCTACCACAGCAGCACAATTCTGGGCAGGCTACAGGGCTGAGGCTCAGTATCTGTAAGATGAAGGATCTATGGGAGGGTCGCTTTAACTCTCCAACAAGACAGTGGCCTCCCTCCACTCCCCTGCCACACAGCAGAGCACAGTGGTTGAGAGCCAAGTAGTGAGAATCCCTGGGGAGGTTATCTACCCTCTCTCTGCCTCAGATTTCCCCAAATGAGGATGACAACATGGAAGCCTACCCTAAACCAGGTAAAACCCCAAGGCACATAATGTCATCATGCCTGGAGATGTTCACTGTTGTCATGGAGATGTCATCTCTAGAGCTTCTCTTTCTCCCATTTTCAAGGGGAAAGCTGAAGGTGCTGATTGAACCCCAGCCCACATTTCTCCCATGGGACATGCACAGGTTTTTTTACATTGTAATCGTTACTGCTGGGTTCCCCTCCTAAGTGGTTCCACCAATTCACAGGCCCACTAGCAGTGGGGTGAGAGTAGTATTCCCTCACCCTCTGTGCACAGTTCATATTAGCAAACCATTGTAGTCAACCTCACTGGGAGCAGACACTGGCTCCTTGCTGATTACGGTGAGATGGGGCATCTTGGCAGGTCCACTGGCTGCCTATATTTCTGCTTTTGTGATCATGTCTTTTTATCCTTGAGTCACCACCAGTGTTCTGAAGCCCAGTCTTGGCTCTCCCTCACATCCTCTTTTCCTTACCCAACCTGTAAGGCCTCTGCCCCACCTGTGGGTTCCTTCAGATGTTCACCATCAGCTCTGGGGGCTGGGAAAAACTCCTTGTGACTGGGGATATCTGTCCCGCCCCTCCCTTACAGACCTCAGGGAATTTCCACCCAGCATGGAGGGTGTATACTGTACCTCTTCTGCAAGATGGCAGCTGGGACTTGGGTGACCCCTGTATCCCCACTGCTCAGGCACTGACTTGATGCCTCCCTAAGACAGCACTAGCCTCCAGCCTAGCCTGAGAAAGCCTGCTTTTTTTTTTTTTTTTTTTTTTTTTTTTGAGATGGAATCTCGCTCTTGCTCTGTTGCCCAGGCTGGAGTGCAGTGATGCGATCTCGGTTCACTGCAACCTCCACCTCCCGGGTTCAAGCAGTTCTGTCTCAGCCCGCTGAGTAGCTGGGATTACAGGTGCACGCCACGATAGCCAGCTAATTTTTGCATTTTTAGTAGAGACAGGGTTTCACCATATTGGTCAGGCTGGTCTCAAACTCCTGACCTCAGGTGATCCACCCGCCTCGACCTCCCAAACTGCTGGGATTACAGGCATGAGCTACCGCACCAGGCCAGGAGCCTGAATTTTTTTGTACTCTCCTTTTTCCTTAAAAGCACAGAATACTTGTGGGCTGGCTATGGAATATTTTTTACCTGGAGATGTCTTCATAGGTCAGAACTGTGAAAAGGCTGATGTTTTATCTGAATTACAAGGTAGCAGGTTGTCCTGTCCTGGTAAAAAACACAGATATTGGTAAAAAACACAGCTCAGCCGGGCATGGTGGCTCATGCCTGCAATCACAGCACTTTGGGAGGCCGAGGCAGGCAGGTAACTTGAGGTCAGGAGTTCGAGACCAGCCTGGCCAACATGGTCAAACCCCGACTCTACTAAAAATACTAAAATTAGCGTGGCGTAATGGTGCACACCTGTAATCTCAGCTACTCAGGAGGGTGAGGCAGGAGAATCACTTGAACCCAGGAGGTAGAGGTTGCAGTGAGCCAAGATCGCGCCACTGCACTCCAGCCTGGGCCACAGAGTGCAGCATACACAGTCAGCTTGTGACACAGCTGAGCCCTGAGTTTGGGAAAACCCCAATCTAATAAGAGGGCTGAGAGCAAATGCTTCCCAAACTTTGTCCTGGAAGGAGACAATACCTTTATCATCTTAGTTGGGAACAAAGTCTGCCCTCCAAAAGGAAGATGCTATCCCTATTCCCTGAGACTGTTCACTATACAAACATCCTTGAAAAGAGGCCGGTCACAATGGCTCACGCCTGTAATCCCAGCATTTTGGGAGGCTGAGCTGGGTGGATCACAAGGTCAGGAGTTCAAGACTAGCCTGGCCAAGATGGTGAAACCCCATCTGTACTAAAAATACAAAAAAATTAGCCAGGCATGGTGGTTGGTACCTGTAATCCCAGCTACTCAGGAGGCTGAGGCAGAGAATTGCTTGAACCCGGGAGGCAGAGGTTGCAATGAACCGAAATCGCACCACTGACCTCCAGCCTGGGCAACAGAGTGAGACTCTGTCTCACAAAAAAAAAAAGAAAGAAAGAAAGAAAAGAAAAGATAGCTCAGAACAAAGGCTGCCAGGGCTTATGCGTGTAAGATGGGCAGACCTATGGCGAATCACTTCCCAACATAGATTCTTCACTTTCTGGAATTCATTAGATGAGGGGACAACAGAAAGACCTGATAGGAATGGTGACCTCTCACAAATCCGTAACACTGCAAATAACACTCTCCCCTATACGGGCCCAGCTATCTTTCCTTGAGTGAAGAGAAGTATACTTTCTGGAACTTACTTTCCCAGGGCTGCTATTGAAATCCTGTTCCAATCAGACCATAAGATATCAGTTAGACGATTTAATTTCTGCAAAAGAAACAAACATAGAGTGAAATCATTCCAAGTTTTGAGGGAGAAGTATCACAGTTTTGGAACATGTTATAATTTGATAATCTCCTCTAAAAGTGGTTATTTGTTTTTTGAGTCAAATGGGCTTGTCTCTTAGAACAATTAACATGTTTTGGAAACCTGACAGGATAAATTGGATAATGACTATTTAGCATAATTTCGGGTAAATGCAGTTCTCATGGAAGGTGGAAAGCTATCAGCCTGACAGTCCAAAGCACCGATAGTTTCTCCCCAAGAAGGAATAGAGGGTAGAGGTAGTGGCTAGACATGTTTCTATTTTTAAAACTGGCTTTTATTGAATGTTGGTGAATTTATCTCAGTATATTGATTTTAATTGGGATTAAAAAAAACTCCTTTGACAAGTCTGAGGCCCTCTAAAAATGTCGAAAAGGCTTAGACTGGGTCAACACCTTAAAAACCAACGTAAATGAACTCAACCTTTTTTCTCTTTAATTCCATCAGACTGTTACTACAGATACCAAATAGCTGTGTTCTGTCTCTATTCAAACTGTCGTCCTGGAGTTGTGTAGATGCAGCTACATCATTCTGTCTGGTCAAGGAATGGTAAGGTAATATGAACTTTGGAATTTTTGTACATACAAATAAGGGGCCTTTTTGTATGTGGAGGATGGGGTTCTAGGTTGACCTTTTCAGAAATCTGGCATTTTTAAATGTCATATCTAAGCTTCATAAAAAATTCTAGTATTAATATGCACATGAAAAAAATCTGTAAAATGATTTATAAATAGACTTACATCTTGGGAGGCAGTAGTATGGTGTGGTGGTGAGTCTGCCTGGGGCCAGAAACAGCTGCCCCTCAGTGGGCTTAAGATAGAAAGGTTGCATATGCATAAGATAGAGGGGTTACATATGCATGTTTTTGACCAAAATAATTATCTTGTGTATACCTTTAATCAATTTGGTAGTGTCACATAAATTATTTTACATTTCTATGTTGTCTTATTTGTCTGTTTGATTTGGTTTCCCCCACTCTGTGGCCACTTTCTATAGCACTAAGAGTACTGAATGTCATTAGGTAAGAGCTAATTACCCTTTCCTTCTCAATAATTTATTTGACGGCCTATATATTTATTTTAATGACAATGTTGCTCAAAACACATTTGAAATTGCCTTTTTCAGGTACACAAATCATACAAGAGACTTGGCATTGTCAATTTATGGTTAAAATTTTTGGTCATCATTTATGACCAAAATAGAAATGAATAGTAGCACTATGTGTATTAGTCCCAATGGAACAAGCCAAATATCCATAATATCCATTGCTAGAATGGATGCACTGTAGTGTATTCATTCAATAAAGGACTATGAAGACATGAGAATGAAAAGCTTAATGCTACCCACAGCAACACAGATGAATTTCAAAAATATGTAATTGATCAAAAGAAGTCAGAAAGTACATACTGTACACTTCCATTTACTTAAGTTTCAAAATCAGGCAAAATTAATCTATAGCGGTAAAGTTGGGATTCTGTTTATGCTTTTACCCATGGTGGGGGCGGGATGCTGGAAGGGAACACAAGGAAAGAATTTCTGGGGGGCTGGTAATTTTGCTTCATGGTGCTTTTTGAATGGGCATGTTCACTGTGAAAATTAACAAGCAGTACACTTATGATTTGGACACTGACTTTTCTATATATGTGTCATACTTCAACAAGAACTCCTTTCAAAAAGTAAAAGTATTACTCCCCCTACACCTTAAGATGAACCTCATCTGTCTGACATTGTGCCGAATGAGTCGGGACACCTAGAGTGAATACAGCTCTCAGCGCCAGGTAGGTTGTGACTGAAGCTACACAGACTCAGGTATAATCCAGCCATGGATGACTTTTGTTGTGGGTGTTTCCTGGCCTGCCATTCAGGCTGCTGGAGGTGAATGGCATCGGAATCTGGAGAAGAAGTTCAACGGGCCCAGGGGCTGAAGCTTGAGGAAATATTCCTGCTGCTCAAGAGCCTGGAACTCTCACCTGCCCCACATCTATTAGTCTTTCTGGACAGTTATGGAAGTTTCTACGTCTCCCTTTTCTATCCCTGTTACTTCTTTTAAAAGTCTTTTTCCTCCTAGGATGAGTCCAGGCTATCCTCACCCAGCTCTCCTGCTGAATGTCAAACACTTTCCACTTGCATCACTTTTTTGGAATCTTCTCTCACAGTTCCAGCAGTGCCCCCTTATGGCTGCGACCAGGCAAACTACAGAGCTGTTTCCAAGATCTACTCCCTCTTTGCTCTATTTCTTCTCCTCCCTGGTGTTTTTTGAACTCATGCTTCTTTCTGGGTACCCAGAACCTTCCAGTTCAGTCACCCTTAAGATCTCGAATAATCCAATCTTGCAGACCTTTCATTCCCTCCCAATTCTCCCCATCAACATTTACTTATCCTATGTCCCATTCCACTGGTCTCTGACAACTAAAGGGAGACGATCCTTACAATATAACACAGGCATAGCAAATAAACAGCTTCAAGTGTAACCTTTCCTAAGTAATAGTTGCTGTTTTATAATAGCAGCTTCCAATGTCTTCATCCAAAGGAATGAGTAAGAAAGGAATTCCAGCTCCATGGTAAGGTCAGGGGTTCTCTTCTGATGTCCCTCAAATCACACTGCCATATTAAGACAGGCTGTGTCAGTTAGTGTTTACTGTTAGCAAGCCACCAAAACAGACCCAGCAGAGGGAAGTTACAGTAAGGATAGCAGGAGTGTACAGGTGGAGGGAGAGACCAGCCAGCCAGCTTTGAAAATGGGCCGCTGGGCTAGAAGCAGGACTATGGGAAAAGAGCCATTAGAGGAATGGTCTCATAAGGACACCACCCTTAACTTAATGATCTCTCACCATGTTTAGACTCCACATCATTCTGCTTAAAATTCACATTCCAGGGAGGATGTGTAATCGGGCCAGCTGGGGTCATCGAGCTGCCACCTGGCTAGGGCAGAATAGGCACCTGATTGGCTGTTTGGAAGGTGTGCCGAAGCTGGGTGGTCCAAACTCACCAAAGTCCACCATGTGAACCCCATCATGCAAATCTGAGATTGAGTACATGTAATTATCCCAGGCCACATACCAGTGTAATAGATCTACTCTCATAATGACAAAAGAGTTGACACCTTCATTCTCTTCAGCAACCAGAAACCTAGGTGGGGTCTGACTCAAGGTTTGAAATGAAAAACAACTAATATAAACATTATTGCCAGGCACAGTGGCTCATGCCTGTAATCCCAGCACTTTGGGAGGCCGAAGCAGGCGGATCACTTGAGATCAGGGGTTCCAGACCAGCCTGGCCAACATGGTGAAACCCCATCTCTACTAAAAATACCAAAAATATCAGTCTGGTGTGGTGGCACATGCCTGTAATCCCAGCTACTCGAAAGTCTGAGGCAGGAGAATCACTTGAACCCAGGAGGCGGAGGTTGCGGTGAGCCAAGATCACGCCACTGCACTCCAGCCTGGGTGACAGAGTGAGATTCTGCCTCAAAAATAAATGAATAAATTTTTTAAAAAAAACATTATTATATGAGCCAAACAGTGCAGCGACTCCATGTATTAGGTTTTTGTGAGAAAATGAGGCTGAAATGGCAAAGCGCTTCTCTTAGGCACTGTAAATCAGAATGGTATACTTCTGGCCAAATGTGTCTCCCACTGAAGACTAAGAAGAGAACATGGCTTTCCTTTACATTGTCACTGTTGATGAATAGGCCCTCCTGGCAGCATGCCAGGTCACATCATGAAAGGACAGCTGTGGGTGGTGTGTACAGTGTCAGTCCATGAGAACGAGCCATGAGGCCATGTGGTGCAAGAATGAAAGATAAAGGAAGCAGCACAGACCAATGCTTCAATGTTTAATGCTTATGTCTCGCTATGCTGATGAACTGCTCTTACAAAACAACTTCTCTCTAAACAAAGACTCGAAAACCAAAATGAAGTGAGGCATTTCATGGGGCAGTCCACATGTCAGGATCACCTCCAGACTATACTACTCCTGGTCACAAGCCACTCTGGCAGAACAAAACCCCAGATGACAGGCCTCAGTTCAGATTTCTTCATAGCAGTGGAAATAGCAACTGTGTAGGCAGGCAGAGGTCTTTGAGTAGAGTTGGTGTCCCCTTGTTCCATTTCATTTTGTAATTGTTCTATATTTTTCTGATTAAAGAGAATTTTGAAGAATCCCTAGTAACAAAATAGTAAAGATGTTGTTGCACTGCCTCTGAATTTTCCTCTTATCATATGCACTAGTGTATTAGTATGTTCTCACACGGCTTTGAAGAAATACCTGAGACGGGGTATTTTAATAAGCAAATAGGTTTAATTGACTCACAGTTCTGCAGGGTTGGGCAGGCCTCAGGAAACTTACAATCATGGTGGAAAGGGAAGCAAACATATCCTCCTTCACATGGTGAAAGCAAGGAGAAGTACAGAGCAAAAGGGGAAACACCCCTTATAAAACCATCAGATCTAATGAGAACTCACTATCACAAGAACAGCATGGGGGTAACTGCTCCTATGAATCAGTTACCTCCCACCAGGTCCCTCCCACAACACATAGGCCTTATAGGAACTACAATTCAAGATGAGATTTGGGTGGGGACATAGCCATAGCATACCAACCAAGAGGTGACTAAAGCCAGACTTTCTGGTCCTTCATCATTTCTCCACTAAATATATTGCCATAAATCTATAGTAGAATAACATACCTTCTAGAGAAATTAGCAAAATGGACAAATGATACAGAAAAGGAGAATAAGACGTATGGAACTGATCTGGAGATTACTACAGGTACAAGAAGATGTTACATGGGATATTTCCTGACTCAGAGTTTTGTCCAAGGCCCCAAAGGTGAGCACAATGTTAAGTGTCTGCTGGTTCTAATGACAGATGTTAGACCATTTACCCAGGGCTTACTAAATGGTGAGCCCCCTTGCCACTCTTCAGCTTATGTACAGGAGAAGGCAAGAGTGAAAGAGGGTTGTTACAGTTTTGGAAGCTTCCTTCCCACCCCACTCCAAGGCAAGTGAGGGGGACTTTGACAGAACCACTCAGAGAGATGGACAGGTGCCCTTGTTGTAGAATGGTGTCTAACGCTCCAAAAAAACAAAAAAAAACAAAAAAACAAACAAACAAAAAAAACAATGAATAGGCGAGAAGCCAGCTAGAGCTACCTAAGACCGACTGTAAAGATGACGAGACGGGCTGCAGAGGGAACAGCCCTGCTTCCAGGGCTGGGTGGGGAGCAGAGCCACTGGGTTGTTCCCATGGGCTAAGTACACATCAAGCAAGCAGCTGGGCCTAGGCTGTCTTGGAAGGACCCTGACCAAGAGGCCTGCAGGTGAGGTAACCTGACAGAAAAAGTTTGTGTGGAATGTGCTACCAAAAGCAGGAGCCGGCAGTCAACCAGAGGGTACAGCATCTGAACCATGGAATGGGTAAGAAGAGGCTACCAGCAAAGGGAGGGTCCTCCAAAAGATCTCCAAAGTGGGCGCCTCCAAAGAACAAAAGAGGTATTAGGTTGGTTTAAGTAGTCTGTGGCCCACCAGCCAGGCACTGCCTGACCCATGGAACTAGCTCTTTTGGGAGCCTCTGGGGATGTTCACTGGAGATACCATGTTTGCTGCTTCTCTGTCATTTCACCTGCATAAGTCTGAGAAATATGTTGCAGAACTTAAACATAAGGTTTCTGTTTCTATAATGTATGACTTTTTGTTCTATTTCCTAATATTCTGTAACTCCTGAGATTTCAAGGGAACTGTTCATTGTTTTAATCCTATGCCTTCCGTACTGTGACTTATAAGAACATCCCCAGTTAAGCCCAGTGTCTGGTCCTGGTGTTTTATCAGGAAATGAACACCGGCCGGCACCTCAGAACCCAGAAAGAGGCAGTTTCTCTGACCTCATTCCATGGAAAACATCTGTAACTGTTCCCTCAGCAATGTGTAACATTAGCCTCTGGAGAAGGCCCATAAAGGATTTTGCCTCTCTTCCTTGGGAATTCGCAGGAAAGGGCTGTCTGCATGAGCTCAGAATATCTGTTAATATATTGCCACTCAGAGACTTAATAAGGATTGAAAAGAGGTTTCCGCTGCACTAAGGGAAATTTATCAAAGAGAATTCCAGAGTATTGAAGCAGCTGAAAGATGATTTTAAAACAAAGGCCTGAAAACTATGCATGATAAATTATCACAGACGTGAGTACTTTTATAAGTATTCCATTTTTAAATTGCCCAAAGGAACCAACTTTTCAGCAACCTCTTTAGAATCCATTGGCAGCCCTAGATTCATTCCAGATGAACTCGGCCAGAAATTTCTACAGCAAAGGTCAGGGAGGTCCATTCACTGACCTTCCTACCTTGCTCCTTGGCTATAAATTCTCACTTTTCCATGCCACATTTGAAGTTGAGCCCAATCTCTCTTCCCCACTGCAAGACCCTGTTGCAGTGGTCCCTATGTCTACCTCAATGGTCCTGAATAAAGTCTTCCTTACCATGCTTTAACAAGTGACATGTCATTAAATAATTTTCTTTTTTTTTTTTTTTTTTTTTTTTTTAGACAAAGTCTTGCTCTGTCGCTAGGCTGGAGCGCAGGGCACGATCTCAGCTCACTGCAACCTCCGCCTCCTGGGTTCAAGCGATTCTCTGCCTCAGCCTCCCAAGTAGCTGGGATTACTGGCACGTGCCATCACGCCCGGCTAATTTTTTGTATTTTTAGTAAAGACGGGGTTTCACCGTGTTAGCCAGGATGGTCTCGATCTCCTGACCTTGTGATCCGCCTGCCTCAGCCTCCCAAAGTGCTGGGGTTACAGGCGTGAGCCACCACGCCCAGCCAAATAATTTTTTCTTCGACAAGGTATTATATAATTCTTAAGTGAAAATTGCATTACAATTTACAATAGCAAACATTTTAGCCCTGTAATAGAGAGCAAGATAAAAGTAACCCCTGACAGCTCTGAGCTGACCCGGCAGTCACAGCTGGGCCTTGGTGCTCCGTGGAACATAAATACTTCACAGAACACCATCAGACGTGGCCACTCTTTGACCGGATGGATCAAGACAAAAACAAGACTCCTTTGTAATCACGTGGGAATGCTGAAAAAACATAAACATTGTCCAAACCACAAAAATGACCAAACATCCCCTATCCCAGTTAATGAGTTACTGGTCTTGTCTCCCCTCCTTTTAGGTAAGATTTACTATGATACTTAATCATACAATCGCCCTCCTTTCTGCCAGCACCCAGTCCAGAGTATTGGATTGGATAATCTGCTTCCCTGAACTTTTCCCCAAATTACCTTGGAGTAAGGCATCAGCATAGGAGGCTGTCACATTCGTTCAACCATCACTGTGCTTTTACTGGCCCTTTGCAGGCAAAGAATGAGAATGTGCACAGATGAGACGTCCAGGATGCACATGACCACTCAATTAACATTTACTACTTTCATATCAACTGTTGCATGCTAGGATGCTAAAAACACTTTTTGAATTAATTACTGCGTTAAATAGATTCACATTTATGTCTACGGTTATGTGAACATCTAGCTGAGCACTGTCTTGACTGTCCTGAGTAGAAGCAGAAAAGATAAGTTGTAAAGTACGTCAACAACCTTTGCTGCTAAAAAACGAAAGTGCAGTTTCTTTCTCTCGGGCCAGGGGCGGGGCCATAGCTCCTCCTCCAGGAAGCCGCGCGAGCCCAGTCCCACGGCCGCCGCCGTTCGCTCTACGCAGGCGCCATTTCCCTAGTGCGCATGCGCTGGGTCCCAGGACCACGTGCGCCAGCCTGTGGGCTTGGATTGGCTAAGCCTTGAAGTTGTCCCAGTCCCGGTGACCGGAAGATCTCCGTGGACGCTGGGCGGCTGAAAGCTCCGGAACTGCGCCTGCGCTTTTCAGTGAGTCATGCTTCAGGTTTGCCAGGGCCTGTGTCCCGCAGAAAGGCGAGCCCTTGTTCCCAGCGGAAGCCCACCTCGGCTCGCGGCGGCTTTCCGGTGCGCCCTGGGCGGCGTAGGTCCAAAGGTGCTCGCACCCCCGCCCCTTCCTCTCCGACTGCCGAGGTCGCCAGAGTGGGCTGAACCCTCGGGACTGCCGCTGCTTATGTGCTGGGTGCCGGGCCGTCGTCCCAAGATGATTAGCGGCAGTTTTTGCATGTTGCTCGACCCCACCCACCGGAACTCGAACTAGACCGGGCTGTTGGGCTGGTCTCTTCCCCTCGCTGCACCTTTACTAGGGGTCACCATTAAGGGAAAGGGCCCTAGCGCAGTACTGAGTGGCAGTTCAGTAACCGCTACACCACTGCCAACATTTGGCATCATTTCTCTCCATAGAGGGCGGGGCTCTCTGTGAAGCTGGGGAGCTGTAAGTGGGTTAGGGCTAGAAAGTTACACTTTCTCTTTAGGCTTTAAAGAGATCTAAAGATCTGAACAGATCTAGGTTATTATTGACTTTTTACCAACTTCTGAAAACATTGTTTCCAGAACTTTCCTCTCGTTCTTCTCAGGGTTTAGGCCATTTTTTGTGCAGATGTGTGCACCTTGCTTACTAAAATATTAGCTAATCTTTATAAGTTTTTATATGGATCCAATACCATATTTCGTGCCTACTTTTCCTGGCACTGTATAAACTTTTTGGTATAGGTATGCATCTAAGCATTATCCATATTAGCATCAGTTCTAGAACCGTGGTGTCCAATAATGATAGCCATTAGTTACATAAGGCTTGAGCACTTGAAATGTGGCTTGTCCGAATTGAGATGTGCTATAAGTGTAAGACAGTGAAGTTTGGAAAATTAGCATGAAAAAGAATGTAAACTATCTCAATTTGGTTATATTAATCACGTGTTGAAATGACTATTCTGGATACACTGGATTAAATAAAATGTATAATTTCAATTTTTATTTTTTAACATGACTACTGGAAAATTTTAAATCATATTTGTGGTTTACATGTTATATTTATGTTGCACAGCCCTGCTCTAGAAAAGGGTCAACAAATTATGACCTGCAGCCAAATCCAGCCTGCCTGTTTTTGTAAACAAGTGTTACAGAACAAGATCATGCCTATCCATTTATGTTATTTTCTGTATCTGCTGTTGCTGCTGCAAAAGCAGCAGAGTTGAGTAGTCCATAGAGATTGTATGGCCTACAAAGCCTAAAATACGTACCTTCTGATCTTTATCAGAAAAAGTGTACTGACCCCCTGCTCTAGAACAATGCCTGGTTTGGTAGATATTTTTAAGCCTTTTAATTGTAGACCCACATCCTATTATTCACACTTACTGTATGACAGCCATAGTTCAAAGCACTTTATCAAGACTTTCATTTAATTCTCATTAATCGTAGGATGTTGGATTTCTCCCATTTTGTAGATGAGGAAATTGAGGCACAGAATGGTCAGGAAGCTTATCCAACTTGCTCAGCACCCCTCACTTCTAGGAACTGGACCTGCTTGACCTTCTTTATGCAAATGTTTTGACCCCTCAAACCCACTTGATTAGCCCACAGTGGGCACCATGGTTCTCGTTGTTGTTGTTTTGTTTTGTTTTTAACAAGATTTATTTGAACTAGAATTTTTTGAATTATTTTTTTGAACTAGAATCGAGATGGACTTGGTCTCCTACGGAAGAAGCCGAGGGGCACTGGGCTTAGGTGCAATGAGTACAAGCAAGCTGGTGTGTAGTGAAAAGAAATGAAGCTCACAAGCAGAGAAGAGAGAGAGCATCCTGGATGCTCATCACTCATTTAATAACAACAAAAATGTGTTAAGTAATAGTAAGCACTGGCGGGGTGTTTGCTAAGTGTGTATAGGTGAATAAAACATGTGGATCTTATGGTCTTGTGGGGAAGGCAGTAAAAACGTTTTTTAAATGTGATGAACACCATGAAAAAAAAACATGCAAATTATTTACTGTTTTTAGCAGGTTTCCTCACCTGTAAGATGAAAATAAGCCATTATCTGTATTTCAGGAATATTGTGAGGATTGAGATGACAGGAGAGTGTATGTCCCAGAGAGTTGCTCAATAAATATATGTTGCCTTCCACTGTGAAGAGGTAAGTGAGGGGGTGAGTATCAGGAATTGTGTACATTATGACATTTAAAATATTACAGTTGTCATGTGTAATTTGTGGAGAAGGTTGTCAGCTGCATTGTTCACAGTAGGTGTTTCAGATCTTTTCTGACTGAATGAGACTCATCTAGAAAAAGCCAAAGTCAGAGTTGTCTGCATTCAGTCCAGGAGCAGAACCAGAGCTGTCCTGGGGGCTGATGGCAGCCTAACTGGGAGGTCCTGCTGGGGTGTGGAGGAGGGTTGTATGCCTGTGTGTGGTTTAAATCAGAGTCACCCTGGAGAGCTGAGCCAATATGCAGGCCCTACCCTCAGAGATCCTAATTCATCCTATCTGGAGTGAGGCCCTGCCATTGTTTGTTTTTGTTTTTTGTTGTTTAATTTCCCCCAGATGATTCTAATGTGCAGTCAGAGTTGAGAACCACTAATGGTGGGAGATCAGCCAGGCTCAGGATGCTGCTTGAGCAAAGGCACAGAGCTGTGCCCATCAGTGGTTGAGAGTAGTCAAGAGGGAGGCCTGCTACGGCTCTTTTTGCCACTGGCCAAGAAGCTTTGGCTCCATCATGAAAGCAAGGGGAAACCTCTGAAGGGCTTTAAGCAGGAAAATGAGGGAATATCTTGCTGAGATCTGTACTAGAGGATGATCCCTCTAACAAAGTGCCAGACTCACAGTTGGGCCTTGTGAGTGCCAGAAGTAGAGTGAAGGCAGTGAAGAAGCAAATTGTAGCTGTCCAGATGATGGAGAGCCCAGATAGGGTTTGGTACCACCCTGTGTGTGTTTCCTCTAGCAGCCAGTGTCTGTCCATGTTGAAATACCACATGTGTTGTAACTGGCCAGTTTCTTGTCAGTATTCCTTCCACTAGGCTATCAGCTCCTTCAAGGCAGAGACTGTCTGTTTAGGCTCAGCATCTAGCACATACTCTATCCCTAATATATATTTATTGTATGAACTATGTAGAACTAAGCTGGACATATGCCTTACTTTGTCTTTTTATAGCAATTGTCAGAATTTTATATCTCAATGGCTTCCACGTTATACCCTCCTAGGGCAATAAATCCTTTATATCCACATGATGGTCCCACAGAGGACTAGAAAGTTTGACTGGATTTAAATGCTATTAAAAATGTGGAAGGGAATGGAAAACAATATAGTGGGTCCTCAAAAAATTAAAACTAGAATTACCATATAATCCAGCAATTCCATTTTTGAGTATATACTCAGAAGAATTGAAAGCAGGGTCTCAAAGAGAGATTGGTATACCAGTGCTCACAGCAGTGTTATTCACAATAGCCAAAAGCTAGAAGTAACCCAAGTATCCATCGACATTTGAATGGATAAACAAAATGTGTTATATATAGACAATGGAATATTATTAATTCTTAAAAAGGAAGGAAGTTCTGACACACGCTACAACATGGATGAACCTTGAGGACATTATGCTAAGTGAAATAAGCAAGTCACAAAAAGAGAAATACTGTGTGATTCCACTCAGATGAAGTACCTAGAGTAGTCTCATCCATAGAGACAGAAGGTCGAGTGGTGATTGCCAGGGACTGGAAGGAGGGAAAAATGAGGAGTTGTTTAATGGGTGCAGAGTTTTCAGTTTGGGAGGATGAAAAGCGTGCTGGACATAAGCATCTTGGTGGCAGGGACTGTGTCTTTTCAAAAATCCATGGGCTCTGTTTTATAGCACTTGATATTAAATAATCACCACTGAACATGCACAGGCTAAGAACACTGAAGTGATTACAGAGAGAATTCTTGCAATCTTCCCAGACACCATCTGACAAGTGACATAAAACATAATGACCTTTTAGTAATTCTACTTCTCTTTTCTTTTTTTTTTTTTTTTTTTTTTTTGAGGTGGAGTCTCGCTCTGTTGCCCAGGCTGGAGTGCAGTGGCGCGATCTCGGCTCACTGCAAGCTCTGCCTCCCGGGTTCACGTCATTCTCCTGCCTCAGCCTCCCGAGTAGCTGGGACTACAGGCACCCGCCACCACGCCCGGCCTTTTTTGTGTGTGTGTGTGTGTGTGTGTGTGTGTGTGTATTTTTAGTAGAGACAGGGTTTCACCGTGTTAGTCAGGATGGTCTCGATCTCCTGACCTTGTGATCCACCCGTCTCGGCCTCCCAAAGTGCTGGGATTACAGGCGTGAGCCACTGTGCCTGGTCTAGTAATTCTACTTCTGTGAATTCACTTTAAGGAAATGAGAGATGTGGAGACCACATATGTAAGAATTTTCTTCAAACTTAGAGGAGAAACTGGAAGGCCCTCAAATAGGAGAATGGTTCAAAACTATCGCAAACTCCTAGAATGATCCAATAACATAGCCATTTAAAAATCATGTTTTTAGAGAATATTTAATGATGTGGAAAAATAGTCCTAAAGCTAAGTGAAAAAAAAATCAATATGTAAAACTATATAAAAGATTAAACAGAGTTATATAAAGCAGCAGATTCAAGATAATGAAAACATATGTCCACGCAAAAACTTGTACGCAGGTCAGGCATGGTGGCACATGCCTGTAATCCCGGCACTTTGGGAGGCCAAGGCAGGTGGATCAACTGAGGTCAGGAGTTTGAGATCAGCCTGACCCACATGACGAAACCCTGTCTCTACTAAAAATACAAAAAATTAGCTGGGCGTGGTGGCGGGCACCTGTAGTCCCGGCTACTCAGGAGGCTGAGGCAGGAGAATGGCGTGAACCCAGGAGGTGGAGCTTGCAGTGAGCCGAGATCGTGCCACTGCACTCCAGCCTGGGCGACAGAGCAAGACTCAGTCTCAAAAAAAAAAAAAAAAAAAAGAAGAATTACATATGAAAAGACTGAAGATAATACCCAAAATTTTAAAGAGGGG